TGAGGGCAATGGGTGAACAGAGGCAGGGAGTGTACAGTGGAGAACACAGCAGAACCGTGCTCACACGCTGCTCCATGGACCAAGGACTAGGAACTAGTGGCCACAGGTTCCTGGAGAAACATTTTGCATCCATTTCAGCTCTTATTCCAACTAGCATTTATGAGTGCTAGCCAAGAACTGAAACAAAAATTGCACGGCCATTCTGCACAGCGAAGCTGATAAATATTTTGCCATCCCCTTAAAACAGCATTTCTACTGGGCGTAATATTGACCTATGCTAGAATGTTTCCATCACGGTCAAGTGAGTGAACTTGAGAACTCTGCTCTGTATACAGGGTAATAAGTTCACTGTGAATGCAAGCAAAACCATTTATAAAGTGAGGCTTTAAAAAAAGAAGAAGAAAAGGAAGAGGAAGGTTTACCTGCATGCTTTCAGCTAAACTCTCAGAAAGGTGATGTTGGACGATTTGCTTGTCTGGCCTGACTGACAAGAAACATTTGCTTCTTAGATGCCCTTCCATTCAAATTCTGACTGCATGACCACACGTGTGTTTTGCTGTGAGGCCAGTGAGGTGTCCAGGGAGAAACATCTATGGAGGGACTGCTCTCAAGCTGACCTTGCACTGGGGATGCCTCTGCACTTCATCCCAGTCCAAAGCTAATAGATTCTGTATGAACTGAGCAGGCGATGCTCATGGATGGGCTGAAACTGGCACCGGAGAGATTTAGGGTACACGGCGGTGCCTTAATTCTAGAGGCTTCCAGGCACTAACACCAAGGCTTGTTCTTGAGAAAAATGTCCTGGTGGCCCTTTCACCCAGGTCATCTCTTATTTCTTTTGCCTAAAATGACCTTCCTCACTTTGTTAATTTGGGAAATGCTGCTGACCCCTCCTCTCAGCTTTGCCTTGCAGAATCCACTGACATTTATATTTCAAAGGAGAAATGAGTCCCTAATGTGTAGGATGTAGAGAAGGTACACCAGCAGGGAGCTAGTGTTTAACCCTTGTCGGGAGAGGCCTGCCAAAGCCTGGATCCACAGGTCTGAGAGGTAACCAGACATCTGGGGGGTTTGCTTTAACCATCAGCAAAAACACCTCCAGTTGCCAAGAGACTAATTATTGTTGCATGCTTTTAATAACGACAATCATGGTGTGAAAATGTTAATTGCAGCATTGTTTACAGTGGCAGAAAATAGGACATCAGCAAAATGTCCATAGAAAGGGGTGACTGAGAAACCCAGGTGCTTCAGTCCCATGGAATGAGAAGTAATTGGGTAGAAGGTAACCTCATATAATCTGACTTGAAAGGATGTAGAAGACAGGTTTTTGAATGAAAAAGAAGAAAAAGAACAACATATCTAGTAGAAAATCACCTATAAAAATAACCTCCCCTATTTTGTGCATTTTTTTTTCCTGGCAGAATTATTCACTCACTGGGAGATGAAAAGTGTTAGATAACACGCATATCAGCCAGATCACAGTTGTGTGGAAAAGGGGGCAGGATTGGGGTGACGATCTAAATGGACTTCTAAACTATAGAAAAACTATGTCTACATTCCCTGTGCAGTGGAATATCTGTAAGTAGAAAGCTAAGTGCTTAATGGCAGCACTGCAGTGGCTATAATGTTAAACACCGAATCTGTGTCAATGTGCCGATGAATCAGCACAGAGCTAAGCGGCATCTGGGGCCTGGGGCTGGAGTGATATAAAGAAAGGCAGAAAGTTCTCCTTTAATTCCACTCCATTGTGCCTCTTAGCAACTCCAGAGGTGGCTACAGACACTGTAAGTAAGAAATCAATGGTAGAGGCCTTTTTTGAAGATAATTTCAGACCCTGTCCCAGCTAAGGGTCCTCTCGTTCCTAGAGCAAATGCAGTGCGTGTAGACAATGCAGTGACCAGTGAGGTTACTATTGTCACCCCCACCCACACACTATAGCTCATTGGTCCCTCTGTGGGTGGTCACTCCGTCACCTGGGAGCGCCTTACACTTAAGAGCAGGGCATTTGCCACACCCATCAATGGCTGGTATTTACCACATGCTCTCTTACACAAGCTCGTTCACTGATGCTGAACTCAGGCTTTTTCTGCAAAAAATTTGCATGGAATAAATGAAACCAGGAGCTATGGTTACTTAAAAACCCTTTAGGGTCAGATGCTAGCATGTAAAACCCACTGACATGAACAAACCTCTCAGAGTGAAGGTTGAGCCCTAGGAAGTGAGGCTGGTGATTTGGCGATTAATAAACATAACTGCATTGACAAACATGTATATACCTGGACACTGATCACTGAATCGCATCCTTAAATTTAACTTTAATTGTATGGGGAATAGATGAAAAATCCCACTGAATAGAACACTATAATTGTAGCATCTCTGATACTTTATTTTATATATGTCAGGATTTATTTGGATTTCACACATTGAATTTGCCTAAAGACTGGTGAAATCTATTTACAGGCAGCTTAAAAACATTTGTGTGCACGTACAGGTATGTATATATGTGTATGCACTCACTCTGCCTACTCTAGTGATTTGAATAGCAACTGAAACAATTTAGACTCCTCTGCACTTCAGCCCCTTCTCATCAACACCAAAGACAGAGTAATATAACTTCCCTGAAGGACTGAGGTAGTGGGAAAAAAATCAATTTTGAAATTAGCTGTAGAGGTTTCCGATGCCATTTGCAAGGCCCGAACATTCTGGTACATGCAAGTAATAAAAGTTTAAGTTATTTAAGCTATCACTTAGTTATAAAATTAAGTTTATCTATGACATCAGCCCCTTTGATTTATTTTCCCTATGGCGTTAGATGCTGGAGACCCCAGTGATTTGCTGTAAAAATGCTTTTGTTTGTTTGTTTGTTTTGTATTTTTCCTTGATTTTGTGTTATGGATCAAAGAAGTCACAGTTTATTTCATCAAGCTCCCAGGAATCCATAACATCAGAGAAAATGATATTTGAGATACTTGTCTGTGTTTTTTCCCCTTCCTTCTGAAGAGTAGTATACAGGGTCCAGCAGAAATAATGCCTGCTTGAGTGTGGTTCGCAGGCTAATAATATGGGTGTAGTAATTTATAGTTTTAATTTGAACATTTCACCCAAAGTGTCACACGGTGTGCTTGAGTGTGATATGGTTATGTTACAGAATTACTCGCTTATGATTTTGTAATAAAAAACAGGCGTTATCTGTGCTGGACCCTGAATATTCCTTTGGTAATCTTTGTTTTTAATTAAAAATAAAAACTTAATTTCTCTCCAGTACAGGGAAGCACATAATTGAAGCGCTGGTAGACCTCAGCCCTGCACTGCAGCTGGCACGAGAGATGCGAGGAGAAACTGTCAAGTAGGACTGGGCTGCGGCTGAAATGCCTGCAGCTCACTCCTCCTCCCTCCTTCCCTCTCTCTCCTCCTGCCTTTCCCACTCTTTTTAACATTTCAATATACACACAAACGTGAGAAAATAGTGTAATAAATCTCCACGCCTCCATTAACATCTTCCAATGTTACCAATATCTTTCCCTTCTCTATCATTTTAAAGAAAATGTCACACATTACGTACCTCTAAAAGATAAGGCTTATTTTTTCTTTGGCCTGACCAAACTACAATGATCATCCCTAAGTGCATAACTATATGTTGTTACTATGATATCATCAATATAATATATTACTTAGGTTCAGATGAACCTAATGCCCCCTGTGATGGTTAATTTCATTTGTCGACTTGAAAAGGCCATGGGGTGCCCATATTTGGTCAGACATTACACTGGGTGTTTCTGGGGAGGTGGTTTTGGGTGAGATTAACATTTACATCAGTAGACCCAGTAAAGCAAAGGGCTCGCTCCAAAGTGGGCGGGCCCCACCCAATTTGGTGGAGGTCTGAATAGAACAAAAACACTGATCTTCTCCAGAGGAAGGTAGAGTGCTCCCTTCAGAAGGCTGTCTGTCACCTGAACATCCGCTCCATCTGCCTTCACTGTCAGGGGGAGGCCTTGGCTCTTCCTGGGTTTTGAGCTCACTGGCCTTCAGCCAGAAACTAGAAGATCAGCTCTCCTGGTTCTCTTGCCTTCAGACGAGGACTAGAAACACCGTCGGTTCTCCTGGGTTCCTGTTTGCCACGTACCCGGAACATCTTGGGGTGTGGACTTGCCCACCACCATCATTACGTGATCCGATTCCCCATAAAAAACAAATGAGTTCTCTCTCTATGTATTTAATCTATCAGATATAAACACGTATCTCTGGAAAACCCTAATACATCACCTAATCACCAGCCCATATTTAATGTTCTCAAATGGCTAAAAAATGTCTTTTTTGCAGATTGAATTAGAATCCAAATAAGTCACATATGCTGTTTTCTAAGTCTATAAACATCAACTACACTTGTGGAAAAGTGATGACATGTTTTCCCATTTTTGATATTTACCAAATAATTTTTGATAAACTCTATAATATATAACATTAAACCCAAAACTTCATAATCTGATTCCAGGCTTATAAAGATCAGAATGCATGCCTTGGATGTGTCAAAATTGGACACAGAAAAGGAAACACATTCCTCCGAAGACTAGCATACTCCTGCAAAGTCAGCGAGCGCCCTTTCTGACTCGAGATTCCACATCTATAACCCAAGAAGTGCAGAGATGAAACATTTATTTGGCCTTTCTCTCAGGGATGCAGTTAATGGTTAAAGGTATTTTTTCACCATTAGGTACCAGAAAGAAGACTTCTGAAATAAAGTATCAAACAGTGAAGCAATTTATACATTATCATTGCCATCTTCAAACCAATTTTCTTTCTTTATTTACCACTAGGGTTTTATCCTCAGGTGAAATTTGCACTATTAATCTAACTCTGTGCTTCATTATTAAAAAGTACAAAAGCGAATAAATTGTGCTGTAATGAAACAGGCCTGACCTTTGATCAGAAGTAATTCCATAAGTTTGACACACGCTGAAAAGCAGGGCTGACCAGTCAAGGTCACAGCTTCAGACACTCACCCAGTACTGTTGAGGTAACTCTGTCCCAAGCTGCAATCTTTCGACAGAGAAGATGGATTGAACCAAAATGCTGGCAGGCACTGGCCATTGCTGTGTCGCTCATAACCATAGTCACTGTCGGAGAAAGAGCCAAGAAAAATCTTTCAGTACATGGCAACATTACTGAGCACAATTTCACGTTAGTCCACAGCCAACTTCGACTCTAGTCAATTAGTTAGAAAAGAGGTGTTCACTAAATTGATGCCTGTCCAGGAATGGATTTTTTCCCCATGCAATATCTATCAATTACCCATGAAAATACCCCACAGAACCCATTTTCAGAAATGCTAACTTGGAGGCCACGAGGATGCCTGGGTAGAGATGAAGGCTCAATGTCCCATTATTCCAAATAAGCATCCTGAAGCCGAGAGAATAGACTATGTTCTCATTAGGAGGATACACAGTTCTGATTGTGGTTGGTCCGGAGAAAGCTATATATATAATTAGCACACAGGCTATGGTGGAAGCTCAACTGCCAGTGTAAAGTTTCACTGAAGTGTTTAGCAGACATGTGCCATGATCCTCGTTACTGCCGATGTCTTTGGGGTGCTCTTCCAAGACATCTGGATCTATCATGGACAGCTGAGCCTGGTCTGTCTGTGCACAAGCCATATGCTTCAAAGTCACAGCGGGGGAGGAAGTGTCCTTCGAGGGTGTCGTGAGCATTCTCCCAAGGAAAAACTCTGTCCTCATCAGTCAGCACTGCAAGGTAGCACTAAGTGCTTTAAATCTCCTCTCTAGTTTGGAAAGAGTCCAAGCCATTTCTCTTAGCCTCCTGTCATTCTTGCCTCCAGGGGCCTCCCAGTAGCCTGTTCTTCTAGGCTTTTGGAAGATGAATGTGGGCACAGAGGATGACAATGGATTGCACCTTGGCATGCACAGACAAATTGCAGGCAGTGATCAGCAAACATTAGGATGCATTGGCCCATCCTTGTGTTGGAGGTGAGATGCTGGCACCTGAGGGTCCAGAAGGAAGAAATAGGCTCAGCTAAGGGGCCTGTCACCAGGCAGCTGGCACTTAAAATTCTGCACATACCAGCTGAATTTGGTGCTGGTTCAACACAGCGTGGGTAGGAAGACTTCAGAATTGATGCCCACAGGACCCCCAGTGTTCATTTCACAGAATTACTTTACATACACTGGAGAATGACAGGTAAGGTTACCTAAGGGATTGTCCAAGGGAGAGTCAAGGCAAGAGGGAACATTCCGTGACAACCACCTTTCACTATACTATAGTCAAGTGGGGCTCTGGCTACTGGTAGAAACTCAGAGAGGTCATGGTAAGCCTTCCAAAATATTTTCAGAAATTATGCAGTTGCAAAAATCCCCTTGGGGCAGAAAAGCATACGATAGCCTCATTCACAATTCATATCCCACTTCTCAGAATGCATTTCAGTTAATGGTAAGAGGAGCAGGTTCCAATCTCCAGTGAATACAAGAATTGGGCCAAGAATGAGGGGTGTGAGAAGTGAGGGAGAGGAGAAACCTTACTGCTTTTCTCACCCTGTGTTCCTTTCACTCTAAAGTCACTTAAAATTGAAAAAGAAAAACAAAAGCAACAACAAAAGCCTAGCTTATTTTGGAACCTCACAGAAAAAAAGATTCCCAAAGGAAGAAACATTTCCAGGTGAAATCAGGGAAGTGGAACATCTCAGCTCACTTTTCCCTCCTGGTTTTCTATGAGAGGATACATTTGCTCTCTGCACAAGAACAACTGTTTGGTAAGTTAACAGTTAAATCATGAACATAAAATGTTAACTTCCTTTACAAATTCTCCTTGAATACAGTGGAGGAAGGAGAAACATTCTGACTTCAAAAAGAGGGATGTGATGGATGAGTTAAAAATCCATGGACATTTTTCTTATAAATGTATTTCAGGGTGTCAGTCCTACAAGGTAGGACAGGGATAAAATATTTTTGTCAGTGTAATAATGTTGCACTAAGTAAAACATAAGTCGTGGCGAGCTCCTGTAGAATCCCTTGTGAGCTCCAAGGTAATAATCCCTGCTGCCCTCTGGCTGAGCCCAGAGGTCCAACACTGGCTTTCGACAACCTGTCTGCCAGCAAGACGAGGATAGCCTTGGGTTACCAGTCTGAGTGCTGATGGCCAATTTTGCAAGGCCTGCCCAGTACTACTTGTTCAGACAACATCTCCAGAGGTGTCTCATGAGAGAAGATGTACTTTTTCTACGTTATATGATGTGTGTGTACATAGTACCTCTCAGCCCAATCATAGATAATCTGATGATCACCGATAATCAGAGATGTGACCAGTGATTGCTACACAGCTCAAAATAAATTGTTAAAGGAATGACTCTGATGTTTATACAGGTTTCAGGTAAGTTTAAATCATTTAACCCTGACCTACATATTTAGCAACTGCATTCTCTAAACTAAAAGCATATAAAGAAATATAAAAGAAAAAATATGATATGCAAAAGGGAGTAGAAAATGAAACAGATATAATCAAGGGAATTCCCATCCTCAGTAATTTTTCAACCTCACCTGAATCCTAAACACTGACCGAGACCAAAGCAAGAGCCTCATTGGCCCCTCAAATTAGCTTTCTGCTCACCACATGGCCCAGGAAACTCTCAATAGCATTCCAAGTTTATTTAACATCTAAATGCCTCAGTACTTTTCCAGTTAAACTAGCCTGCTTCAGGTAAATGGGGGCATCTTCTTGAACATGGGGATCACAGAGCCATAGACTGGCAAGGCCAGTGAATCCTTGCATCAAATTCAGAAATACCTTCCACAGCTCACAGAAGCAATAGTCAGCTAACCCCTGATTGGAAACTTCCAAAGACAGAAAATTTACTGACTAAGAAGGCCATTGTTCCGTACCTAGGAACCAAAGATTCTAGAAAGTTTAACCTTGAGGACAAATATGTCTGCTCTCTGAAAAGTCCACTTACAGTTTTCACTGTTGCCATCTGAAGCAACTCAGGGTGGATCTGGTCTCATTTTCTATCCTGAAATCTATCATATAGATGAAGATAATTACCAACTATCTTCTAAATCCTCTTTAAACCTAAACAAACTCCCGGTTTTTCCACATGCATGTGTACAAGTATGCCATGATGTCTCCGATACGTGGCTTGTCACATTGCCCTATGTTTGTCCTATTATTCCAAATCTAAGCTGTTGTTAAGGCCCCATGGGCCTAATACACTGAAGGACCCTGAGGGAGAAGGGCACAGGCTCACCAGTCAAAATCAGCCTCTGTGCAGACACAGGGCTCAGATTCCATTGCTCCTGCATATTTTCCTTGCATGCATTTCCGCTCCGACTTTCGCTTCTTGTATATCCTTTTTGCTCCCATGATGCATGCTTCCCCCTGGAAGGAGACAAGAATCTCATGCACTTGGGTACCACACTAGGAGCTTCGCTGCTCCACCATCAGGCAGTTCAGGGAGATGTCCCCAAACCCCAGTGTAATCTGGACTTTGGTGATCCACTCTGTGCTGATGGCTTTTGGTTTGCCACGTCTATGGACCTAGCACAGAATGCGACTCATAAGGCAACTGAAGAAGCACTGAGGGTGTGTCTAAACATGGCCTTAACTCCTCAGGGGTCCTGCAAAGCTTTCCTTGGCAAGGTGTTAGGCACAGGGCTGTGAGGGACACACAGATAACTAAGACTCAGCCCTACAACAAGTGTATTGCCAACAAATCTGTGATAATTAAGTTCAATCCTCCTGAGTGAATTCTCTAATCTTCTAAGATTCATACATTTGGCCATTTATAAGCATATGGAAGAACAGCATTGCTAAGAAATATAAAGATCCATTTTGCCCCAATTTATAATGCTTCTGCCCACACAACTTTATCCACTGATTTTATATCTATCTATCAGACAAGCAAGATGACTAAATTCAGTGTTTCTCTGCAAAATAAATGAACGCTTTGAACATCACAATGCTTCTGTCTCCCAAAGGGGAAAATATCAGCCATGCAAATGCGTGATAATTTACTGAGTCTCTGAATAGAGTGGGTGATTCAGCTGATGCAGCCCACACTGTCAAATGTAGCTCTCTTCACATGTCAGAACAGAAGTTCGTCTAAAACCATAACCTTTCTTGAGCAAGCTCACTTTCAGCAGCTCCATCCCACATCTGCGTGTCCGAATTTCACATAGGCTAGGTTTGGGACAAACGATGTGTTGCTGCCTGAATACAGTGATGGCTTTGCCGCCAGAACCTCTGCCATGTAATTTGAGGAACCTGCAGGATGGCTTCTGGCTTTGGGGAAATCTAAGGAGAGAGGCTTCACACAAGCATTTATTTGGTCATGAGCTGAACAGCCGAGGGGCCAGGAGGAAGGGAGGTTTCCCACTGATAATTCTGCACTCCACAAGTATCTCGGAAGAGGTGAGAAGCACTACTTAATCCCAGGGAGTCACAGCAGTGGGGAGAAAGGGAATTCTGAGCACTGCTCACAGAGCATCATTCCGTTGTTTTATGTCTCTGTGTGCATTGCCAGATCCCTTTGCTCACCCCTGCCTCCATACGACACGCTCAGATAAATTATGTTTAGATCCCCGTGCTGAGTTGCTATTTCATTTTAGGTTATTAGTCTAAGCCAAGCACATTTGAATTTTATTTCATTATATCTTAGTACAATAAAAACAGAAATTACTTCCCAAGAAGCTGTAAAATGTAGAGTTTGTTCACCGCTGTGGAACACGGAACACTAGATGAGCATGCGGGCCCAGAGAGCCCCAATTCCTACACTTGAACGACTCGCTCTCCCCCGACACACCCTGTGCCTCTTGCTCAGCACTCAGCCTCTGCTCTCTGGCTCCTACCTGGCTGTGCAGCTGCCAAGGTCTGTAGTCCTCCTCTGCACACCGTCTGTCAAAAATGGACTTGTAGTCCACTTTCACCAGCTGCCATTCAGAGCGGTGGCTGAAGTGTCCAAACACTCTACAGAGTTCATCAGGATAAAAATAATCACAATAATATCAATGCCAACAGTGATAACAGCAGCTAGCCTTTGCTGAGTTTTTAAATATACGCTTAGCACAATGCTAAGCACATTAATGCATTGATCATACTGTTTAATCCTCAAAACACATTTCTGAAGAGGGTTCCTGTTATTAGCGCCACGTTCCATATGGGCAACTTGAGGGTTAAAGAACCCTGTTAATTGCAAAAACCAATGTCAAATCACTAAAGAACAGGTAGAGTCAGAACCCAGGGTGTTTGATTTAAAAGACTACTTCTATATATTACACCACTGAATGGTTAACAACAAAAAAAAAATCGATCAATCAATAATGGAGAAAACAATCACAAATGCGGCATTCTGCATGGTCTGAGATTATACTTCTGGATTCTTTAGTTAATGTGCATGGTTTCCGTGGTTTCCGTGCGACTTTATTTTCCCACCAGTCACTAGAAAAAGTGGGCAGCAGTGTCAAGTGGCTAAGACTGTTTCCTACACTGTGCATTCTACTCTCCTTACTGAAAAAGACTCAGATATCTAATGAGGTGTCTGAATCACTAACTGTAGATAAGGATAAAAACCACAAAGCAGCCTTACCAGTCGGCATTTTTATCTGCGTTTTATAAATACAAAAAATTAAATGCAGACAATTTATAAACTGCTAATCTAGCTGTGCTTACCATGGCTTAAGGTGTAGTATTAGGCATACTAAACATTTGTTGATCTTTTCTATCATTTAAAAAAAAAACGGGAGGGAAGACAACTATTCACTTTGATTTTTACATTTCCATGGATGACAGGATCGACTGCTTTAATACCTTCCCTCCGTTTTCCATGTCTAATTTTCTAGGGGAAGGAAAGAGCGCGATTTCATATCTTGCATTCAAAGCTGATGTTTTGAACCCCATAGGCAGGCAAGTCATTAATCAAGTCTTTCACAAATTAATGATCATCTCTTTCCAGACAAGAATGAGAGCAAATGCAATTTCACAAGAACAGATTGTTCTCAGGGTTTCCCTAATTTGCCTCACAATTGGGTTAGGGAAAGAGCCAGGGAAAAGCAAGAGCCTGTGTGGGGTTTCGCGCAAGCTCTGTGTTCTGTCTTAAAGTGAAACCATTCTTACATGCCTGTGATTTTCTACCTATCGAGCTTGTTTCTTATTAAAGTTTTAAATGTACAGCTTCATTTTCTGTTGAAATAATCTCTTCTAATTTCCCCCAGGCCAATCAGGGGAAAAAGAAAGAAGCCAAGAAAAATGGCTACTGACATTTTTCTTTCCTCTTTGCTGGGGAATTGTGAAATCAGAGGTACTGGCTTTGCTGGAAATTCCAAACCGAACAGTAGTGTGTAAACTTTGCCATAAAACATGTTTCTGGATGAATAATAACACTAGAAGGCATCACTGATGTTCACTTACGTCATGATTAGCGTCTCTTCCCCAGGCTCACCCAAAACCCCGTCCACAAAAAGTGGAATAGATGTGAAACTGTATTTGCTCCAAGATCTCCCTTCATCAAAACTCAACCTAATGACAGAAGAAAAATAACAGTCATCAGATCACAGAAGGAAAAAATGATCCTTTCAAAGGAAAGATACCATCAACCAGGAGAGCATACATTTTAAAAGTACCTAAGGCACTGTCAAAATAAGCCTTGAATAAATGCTCTTAATTTCATCAGCAGATAGAAATACAGTTAGCCAAGCAATTTGGGACCCAGGGGTGTTATAACATTGACAAGGGGAAAGCTGCATGAAACGAGAATAATAATGAGCCTTTAACAGAGTTTGTTTTGAAATTTTGATGTTTTATTAGATCTTAGATCTCAGCGTGACTCTCTCCCAAATCATACTCTAGCAGCAAGCCTTACAGGTGATTCTGAAGAGCAATGACTTCAGGGGACCTACTTAGGTGGACTTGAACTAGCCACCTCTGAGTGATTAGAGACTTAGCAGAATCCCACTTACACTCTTTTAAATTGTGGTTGGCTCACTAAGTGAAGGAATGAGTACAGAAGGGCAGACTTTAGAGCACAAGAAGAGAGAAGCCTGCAACTCTGAGGGTTGCAGGGCATGTTCCCTCTGCTCTGCCCTTCTCTGGGGATGCATTCGCCCCCCAGGCTAAGCCTTGGTTTCTCTTATTTCTGCAGCTTTCCTTCTGGTCACCAAGGTAACTGACAGTGGAGGGAACTTCGAACAAGCTTGCATATGGAGAGAGAAAATTTCAAAAACACATATGAAGGGAGTCTTAGAATCCTCCATGGAAGTTAGGCCTTGTGGAAGACTGACAGGCAGAGCTGCTGAATGACACCCCCAAGCAGGAAACTAAGGAAGAACAACCAGGAACAGAAGTGTTGTGATCTCTGTGCAGAACACATACACTCCAGGGGTTATTATTTGGGAAAGCTGACTGTAAGAAGCTAAGCCACTCAGAGATTATACCATCCTACCCAGGATGGTTCTGAAAGAACAAGGCTCTGGGGCAGGCACCATCCCATTTAGAACTACAATGAGATTCTTCTTTCAGGGGCAGAATTTATTCTCATTCTCCCTCTCCCTTCCCTCCATCCCTCTCTCCTCCCCTCCCTCTCTCACAATCCCCTTTCCTCCTCCTGTAGGTAACAATCTTATTTTAATAGAGCAAAAGTATAAATGATATTCTAGTAGACCTTGACATTTTACAGCAAATGTGGTCACAATCTCATAGCCTGACTGCTAGTCTTTCAAGGAGAAACCCTCAGGTTCATGACTTGTGGGCAACAGGTGCCTTTACCAGAGATGCCGGATTGGGAGAGATGTGTGCTTCATAGCAACCAGGACTCCACCTTGGTCCAGATACAACACACTGTGCTCTTCTTCAAAGATCTGGAAATGGAAACAATATCCACATGGACACACATCCACAGCCCCGCACACCCAGAGTTCAAAGAATTCATTTTCAGATGGGGAGAAAAAAATCCTTCCCATAACTGAATGAGGTTTCCCCAAATCTTTGGGAAGATGCAGTTATGAGCAATGCTTCCCAAGGTGGGCTACGGGTACCACTGGAGTTGCAGAAAATTTTCGGTGCACCACAAACCAAATTTAAAGAATAGGTATGTATTTATGTTTGCATTCCTGTCTTTTTCTGGCATGTTCTACTGATTCCCATTTATAATGATGTCGGAATACTGGATAACTGTCATATTGGGTAACCTTTGAAGATGGAAGAAACCTTAGAGATACTTTACTCTCACTTTCTCATGGTTACAGAGAAGACCACCAAAGTTTAGAGCGATGTGGAGAGTTGCCTAAGGCCAAGTACACAGTGACTGAGGGAGCTGGGGCTTGCAGGGTACAGTGACCCTTTCAGCTCTAGTGATTTCGAAATTTCCAAGTACTCTAGAAAAAGGTGTTTTTGTTCCATGAAAAGATTCTCTACCGAGTCATAAAGAAGCTCTGATTAAAATGGCACCATCAGACTTCCGCCAAGATGGAGGCATAGGTGGAAACACTTTGCCTCCTCGTACAACCAAATCTAAAAACAACAAAGTTTTAACAACAATAAACGCAACCAAGCCACAGAAAATCGAATGATACTGAGTCTGACAACAACAAACCACTCAGCTAAACCGATGAGAGGGGCAGAGCCAGCAGTGGAGCCTGTCAGGCAAAAAAGATCCCCCAACCTGGGCTCGCAGGTAGCCAAGGGCTTGGATCCCAGGTGCAAGGTAATGACGGGCAGACCCAGGGAAGGCGCAGAGTGGCTGGCTGACCACGGTCACACATTTGTGTACAGATAAACAGGCGGGGGGTGGGGTGGTGGTGAGGCAGACCGGGCGGGAGGGAGTGAAGAAGACCACTATTGCTACCTCTTTGACACCACGCCCACATACATCATCACAACCCAGCAACCTGGGTGGCCCTACCCTGGTAAATACCTAAGGCGCCTCTTCTCAAACATAACAGGCACAAACAGATCAAAACATGGCTCAAGAACAACTCAGAGCCCCAGAGCCGATAAATCTAAGTGAGGAAGAAATAGCCAAACTTTCAGATGCACAGTCCAAAACGCTGGTGATCAGGATGCTCACAGCACTGGTTGATTTTAGCCACAAATTAGAGAAACATATGAAAGTTAAACTAATTGAAATGTAGGGAAATGCACAGGAAACCAATAGTAATGGAAAGGAAACTGGGACTCAAATCAAGGGGGTGGACCAGAAGTTAGAAAAAAAATGACCAAACAGAAAAATATAAAGAAACAAGAATTCAAAAAAATGAGGAGAGGCTTAGGAACCTCCAGGACATCTTTAAATGCTCCAACATCTGAATTATAGGGGTACCAGAAGGGGAAGAGGAACAGCCATGAGCGGAAAACTTATTTGAACAAATAATAAAGGAGAACTTCCCCATTCTGGAAGAGGAAATAGACTTCTGGAAATCCAGGAAGCTCAGAGAGTTCCAAAGAAGTTGGACCCAAGAAGCAACACACCAAGGCACATCATAATTACATTAGCCAAGATTAAAATGAAGGAGAGAATTCTAGAAGCAGCAAGAGATAAGGGGACAGTCACCTACAAAGGAGTTCCCATCAGACTGTCAGTGGATTTCTCAAAAGAGACCTTCCAGGCAAGAAGGGGCTGGAAAGAAGTATTCCAAGTCATGAAACCCAAAGACCTACGTCCAAGATTGCTCTATCCAGCAAAGCTTTCATTTAGAATGGAAGGACAGATAAAGTGCTTCTCAGATAAGATTAAATTCAAGGAGTTCATCATCACCAAGCTCTTATTATATGAAATGTTAAAGGGACTTATCTAAGAAAAAGAAGATAAAAAAGATGAACAGTGGAAGGACAGCAAACTCACAGTTATCAACAACCACACCTAAAACAAAAGCAAACTAAGAGGACAGCTACATCATGAGTGAACCATAGAAATAAGATCACATGAAGGGTTAGCGACAGGGGAGTGGGAGAAGGAGAAGGGGGGGAGAAGGTATAGAAAATAAGTAGCATAGACCATAGATAGAAAATAGATAGGGGAGAGGGTCAGAATAGTGGGGGAAATATAGAATCTAAAGAACTTGAGACATGAGGTCATAAACTAAAGGGGGGAGGGGTGTGCAGGGTGGAGGGGAATGAAGGGGGGAAATAGGACAACTGTAATGGCATAATCAATAAAATTTTTTAAAAAAAGAAGAAAGAAGAAAAAAAATGGCACCATCATCCCTGGGTACATGTACCACTGGATCTTTCTCCAAATGTGGAGGAACGAGAAGTTAAATGGCGACAGGATAGAAACAATTTCTAAGTCCTCTGTGTATGTGATGCACACTGCTTTCTCACGGTCACACCGTTAGTGCAGCCAAGTCTGTGGTTACACTGTAGACCTGTGGAATGCCTTTTCCCTGTGTTTACTTCTTACACTAGAGATATATCCTCTCCCAGGACTGCAGAAGCAGAGACTTCTTTTGCTTTGTTTGTGGTGTTGGAAGGAAAAAAATTAGGATTCTGGCTCTGTAACTGTTCTCCAGAGGAAGCCTGATAGTCCATGTTCTTAAATACCTCTGAGATCAACAGCCCTGAGGCTTTTTGGCAAATTTCTCCCTTGCCCTGCCTTTCTCAATACACGTGCATCCCACCGAGGACTTACGGTGGGGTCTGGGATTAGGAAATAACAATTGGACCAGAGCACTGAGATCTCTGTCGAAAATGTATAGCAGAGTATTCTTATTGCTGGGTGATTACCTGCACATTAGATTTCAATTTACGTGCAAGTTATTGTATGATAATTAAATGTCACTGGGTTATTAAAACATATTTATTGAAGGGTAACAACCACGCATTAGGCACATATCATGTTATGATTGCTAAACCTCATTAAATGCCTGTTGTATAAGCTATGGGTATCTAATTTTCATTCAGAAGAGAGGAAGCATTTAAGCTAAACACATTCATTTAAAATGATTCCATTTCTACTTCCCCTAGCATATGCACCGTGATGGTTATTACTCTGTCTTTTGCTCATGAGATTTAAACATCTCAGAACACCACCTGGGTAATGGCTATTTCTATATCACTGCATTGCTCTCTATTCTGACTTGAAAGCAAGGGGAAGTTGTGGAGATAACTCAGCATTAGGTATATAACTACCCCTCAAGGCCCCATGTTCCCTATGTGGTAAACTTTTCGGGATTCAAGTCTTTCTTTTATGATAAAAATTCAGTCAGATCTATTTTGGTTTCATTGTCACTTATAAACTGTATTACATATAGGCTCTGAATGTGGGTCATTTTTATTGAATGGCAAAAAAAAATCAAATTGCAAAAAGATTTGCTAGCCCCAAAGTCTTACTTAAGGCAAGATAAATGCATTGGCAAGCTTTAGGATTTATATGTAGTTGAATAAGTGATTACATATAGTAGAATAAGTTCCCAGAATTGAATCCAGTTGGGCAATTTTAATGTCATTTAAACTTCAGCAACTTGATCCAGAATACTTTCTTACCTGCCTCCAAGTGTTCCCTGCGTCTGAAGAGACAAACATGCTGATGTCACTGTCAGACAATTCAGAACCTATGTTCCCTAGAAAGAGCACATCACCATTAGTGAAAGGAACCCTCGGCAGAAGCTAACCACGAGCTATATTGGCAGTCAGCATTACTTGAGATTGCTTTAGATTGCAGGCATATCTGAGCAGAGTTTTTCAGCATACTTGCTTCAGGATCAATGGTTTCAGTGCCATTCCAAAATATCCTTAGGTTGCTTGTTGAGTTCCAAGTGGAGATATCCAGCTTACCTGATGCCACTATGATGCTGGGGGCTGTATCTCGGCTGGCAATGATCCCTGATGTGTAGGGGTTCTCAGAGACCTTCAGGTGAAGGTGTAGGGAGCAATAAGGCTGAGAAGAGGAAAAACAAGTGTCACAGAAGCACACATCTAAATAGTCATTTCAATCTCATGTTCTGAGCATCGATCCAATCATCAAATTGTCCCAGCTATCCTTGCCTTCATGGACCCTTCCATTCACCCATCTTTCATGTCACAAATATCCGGTCTGGTGCAAACTAAGCATCAGACAGCTGCCAAGCTGGTGAAGGAGGGGCATCTTCATTGTCAGTCTAATCGATTGCCTGAATGGTATTAGGGCACTCACCAAACATGTTAGCAACTTTATCGGCAGAAGAGTAGGTGTAGCTTATTAGAGTTCCATCCACTCACATTTGGTTTGACTCTCATGGAGTGTAGAATTTAAGATCTTTCTAATGATTAACATACAGAGAAATATTTTAACAGCTATAAGATCAAGTATGGACTGATATGAAATTCTAGAGGGTGATCAGATGATGTCTAACTTTGGATCAGGGAAGGATTCAAGGAGAAAATGGTGCCTTTGGCAAAGATGGATAGGTTATGAACTGTAGACAAGGTATTGAGGAGGGTAAAGAACATTTCAGGCCTGAGTAATACAAATAACAAGGAGAAAACACACAAGAGTTGAGTTGTGATCCAGTATTTAGTCAATAAGACTGAGGAAGAGAAATGGGATATGAAGTCAGGAAAGGTTTGGTGAGGCTGAGGCTGGGAAGCTTCGAAGAAGTCAGCTGGCTTCTCTTAGCCCCTTTCCACTGAGACCTTGGTCTCAGTTGTCCAGAAGAAGCTGTATGACATGTGAAACTGTCCAAACATCCACCAAATAATTGATAATGTCTGTGTCAGGTTATTACCAGAAGCAGTATTATTCAATAGAAAAGTCACACCTGTAGGCAAAATGTACTGGCAATAGCAATTTCAATGAAAACTTAAGGGACTTGTTCATTTGTGTGTAAAGTCTTGATCAAATTTTCTGATTAATATATCAACAGTTTTCAAAAACGCAAGAAATTTTATGAGTCCCCTTTAAAAGAGTTCTTGTACCCAGTTGTCAAAAACTACGCATTTGTGTCTGAACCCACATTTCTTTCCATCGCTCAGGAAGATTGCTTTCTAATCTTATCGACTTGAGTTTTTGGAATCACCAATGTATCTCTGTTATTACTTTTAGTCTGCTCTGTGAGTTGCAACCAACAGATATTCAGAGAGCTGGAGATGCAGTGATTAAATTTATATAAGATAGAGTAAAATGACAAACTGAAAATGAAATAGAAGAATAAAAGCAGCCAAAATACTGGTGAAATAAAACAGTGGATCACAATTGGGTCTTTTCTTCACTGCCACCAGAGAGAGCAAACTCTCAACGAATAACGATATTAATGAATTATTGCTTTTACGTGAACATTTCACGTAAAGTTACTTTATAATGTTTCAAAAAGGTAAAGAAGACTGCCTTCTAGAAGAAGAAACAGACCCAAACTCTCGGCTTCCTTTTATCCAAGAAGACTAGAATGGGTATGCTATGCTATAGAGGTCCCAGGATAGCCCTGCACAGTTCTCAGAGGCTAAGACAGGACACAGCAGGGGAGTCAAACCATTTTTCCATGGAAGTCTTCCTGACAGCTGCACCTGATCAGGGTCTCCCCTTCCCTGGTCTACAACAGCTTCTTTTACTACATGCAATCCTGTATTATCTATCCAAAGTATGTATGGTTCTATCCCCTAAAAGATGTACTCTACAAATAAAGAGAAAATGTCAAGTACTACTTTGCATCTTCTGCAGAACTTAGCCTAGAATCAAAAAAGTCAATAAAAGTTTGAAATAACAAGCAATGCTTTCATGCTAGGAAATAAAAGACAGTGCTGTTTCACTCAGAACAATGCCAGCAGTACATGGGTTTATTTGTAAACCACAGAGTAATGTGAGTATCTCTCTACGGCCCTAGAATTGCATCACTCCTCAGGAATTATGCATAGACATATGGGTTGAATGGAGGACCTTTGTACTGCCCAACAGGGTGAGGCATCCGTGGACAAGGGAACAACCCAGCTTGCAAATTTTGAACTGCCACTTGCCACAGACTTCATCTCTCAACAGTCTGGAAGACTGTAAAACTCAGTCACCACCTGACCCAAGGATTGCTCAATGTGGGAACATGCCATTACAAAGGAAAGAGGGCATTTCTAACTGCCTATCTCAGCACTGCTCAGTTGCTATGGCTTTCAAAGTCCAAGATAAGTTAATCTGAGAAGAAAAGATACCAGTTCATGCAATAGCAGGAACATTAGAAATGATCTTTTTGGTACATTTTTTCCTCCATGCTCACATTCATAGTACTGGATTGCCCCCAACTGGTACAAGGAGAATATTCTGTGGCTTTACATGTTTTTAAGGAAGTTATATAATCTATCTATATCAATGTTCATGTAAGTGATGTAAAACTTGAAAAAGCATGTAAAGTGATTCATTTCACTTTTTTCCATTTAAACTTTTGTACCTGACCAGTTTTAAACGTTTGTCAAGGTTCACTCACCAAAACTTAATACAGAGGTTTATTATAACAGCAGTCAAGCCACAGAAAAATCCTAAGGACAGAACAGAAGCTTTGCAGTTCTTTATTTTTTGCCCAGGAAGGGGGCACTCTGTCCACTTCTCTCTTCTTTCCTGTCTGCCTTCCAGCCTTCTTTTCTGCCATTGCCAATCATGTACTGACTATGTGAGTATCTTTCCAGAGTTATCGCCAATTCAGTACAATCAAAATACTGCTTGTCCCAAAAGCACTTCTCAAATTTTCTCATTTTTCCACAGTTGGAAAATATAGAACTGTACACTGGAACCACCGTGACCTTGGAGGGACCAGCATGCATGTTTGGAAGCTGCCCTTTATATGTCCTTACACAGTCACAAGGGATGGAATAGCATCAATCAGTCAATTCTAGAAGCAACTACATCCTTAGTCTTTACTCTTTTCAGGGCAGACACAGGTTTGAGGACCCGATGCAAATGAAGGACTCTACCTACAAACAGTGCAGGAAGGCAAAGTGCACACAGTTTCATATTCAAATTTCAGGGAGCACACAAGTTCCTGCAGTTCAAAGTGGACTTCTAGGTCCCAATGTCCTTTCTTTTGCCTTATTCTTTTATTTCTTATTTTAACTAACAAAATCCCTTGGCCACTGAAAGCATTCAGTTTTACTGATCCATTTATAAGCCACTGTCTTCCCAGCACTGTGAATGGCGAATAGAGAATTACTAAATGATAGAAGACATTTTCCCACCTGGGAATAAATGAACTAAAAAAGTGTTAGGTTGCTTGAGGGTCAACCAACTTCTCATTTCACTTCCTCTTTCCCCCCACCCTCTGTATGAATAGCCTTTAGCTCTCATCCTCATGGTACCATTACACGTAGGAATCCAAATCTGAGTAATGTCCTGAAAAGACAGATCAGAGGTTTCATAAATAATAAAGCAGCAGGTAAATTCCCAAATAATAGCCCCTAAACCCAACCCTGGACACATGTTGTCTCTGACCCTGAGCTGGAGCTTTGAACCCACAGATCTTCAGTAAAGGGTCAGTGGCAAAGCAGAGGGTGGTCCCTGGACTGACTGGCTGGGTATGGGGCATTCAGTCCCACTCCGATCCAGCACAACATGCATAGTCAGTGCGCAAAGGAGCGGAAAACAGTCAAGAATCTCCTGGGGAAACTGGCTGCTTAGCTCCAACTGAAAATGGCCAACTGAATCCATAAAGAAATCACAGCCTCTCTCCATGAAACACTCCGCTTCCCCTAAGGGCCCAAGGATTTGTCACAGGCTCAGCTCACATCTTGCCTCTTGACAGCCCATGCCTAAGGCTTTGGAAGCAGGTGGACTGGGACCTGTAATGCCCCATCTAATTGTACAATGCTGCCTTCAGAGGAAAGAAATCCCAGTTGAGCCCTCCAGGCAATCAGTCTAAAAGTCCTAAAAATGCAGCCCCAAATTACCCTGGATGTCTTATTTCTACAGAATACATTTTACCAGGAGCATCCCTTTTGGGGCCGTAATTCTGAACTTGTCCCACATTTGTAACAGCCCTGCTAGAAAATCTCTTTTCTAATCACTAGGCTGTGCTTTTGGTGACAGTGTCACTTTCCAAGTGCTCACCATTTACAATCACTTTTATCTCTTCCCTGCCACCAGCTCCCAAGCCGAGAGAAGATTTTTAACAGTCTGGGTCTCCCATAGCTCAAAGATTTTGTTTCTTATTTTGTGCCTTTGGCAGATTTTTATAAAGTGATTTTGGACTCTCCTCTCTACTCCCTTTGTCATTTCCCCTCCTCACCCTGATCCCTGTTTTGTAAAAGTCAGATTGAAACCACATTAAATAACAGGGTTCATGAGGGAGGTAGGCCCAAAGACTCGCAGGTATTGTACATCTACATCTTATTAATTCATCTTTATCTTAATGAGCTTACTGATATTGTTGACTTCAGGGTCCACTTGAGCCCAGGTGCTTCAGGAGGTGGCAGGTATGACAAATCCTGCAGTATGACTGTCAGTGGCAAGGACAGGCTTCCACTGAAGTCTGAATGTAAAACTCAAACACCACCTGTCCATGGAGTACCTGCTTCAAATGAACAAACACCCTCGACGACAACACCTGTGTGGAGCAACTTCACTGTGACAGGTACGATTCTTGAGCTGACTGTCTGGAGTGGCCACAAAGGTAGCCACAGTTGTTCTGCCTAGGAAGCTCCCGTGTTACATTAGCAGGGAACATGGGCAAATGCATGGGCTGATTTCAAAGGGTGAAAAGGGTCATGAATAAAAAGGAGCTGGGACCAGTACGACTTCAGAAACAGTTCCAGTGAGCTCTTTGAATCAACATAAGTGGTCAAGAATCTGAATTTTAAGAAGCAGACAGACTAGGAAAAGGGCATTCATGTCAAAGGCAAAAAGCCCGAGACAGAAGTGAGCAAGGTAAGTTAATGGTATGGAAACACCATCCTCCCCTGCTGTGGTTTATATGCAAGGAAGGGGTGAGAGGTTGAAGACCAGGCGGAAGAAGTACAGAGACCAGACCACATGGGACCTTGCAGACTATGGTAGAGCATTTGGAATTTATTTGACCTGAATTAGTCATTAGAGGGTTTAAGTAAAAGAGAGGCATGATCTGATTTTTTCAAGCTCAAGTTGATGCCATTCATTCAAAATGTTAGGTAAAGGAACCTGATAGTAAAGGGAAGCAAGTTAGTATTGTCTAGGGTCAGAGGTTTGGATAGTGATTGCAAAGTAGAACGAAGAAAGTTTTGGAAAAATGGTGAAGATTTTTATTTTGACTGTGGTAGTGGTTACACAGGTATAGACATTTGTCAAGATTCATCAAAGTACACTGTTAAAATGGGCACTTTGTATGTTTGTATGTTTTACCTCAATAAAGTTGGGTTTAAACAAAACAAAGGTCACATTGGCTGCTGTGTGGAGAAGACACTGCCAGGTTGGGACAGGAGGAGCACTTAAAAGCCTGTCACTGCAGGGAAAGTGAGAGATGGCGGTGCCTTATATTAGGATGGTCCCAGTGTTTAGATTTTGGAAGCACAGCACTAAGACCTCCTAACACTGGGCTGGTGGTGGAGCAGGGAAAACCTCGCTAAGTGCTCTGGGTAAGAGGCATTTCTAACGGCTTATTTATGGTGCTGAGGTTTTCCATAGGATATGGAAAGTCTCTTTGCAGGATATGACTAATTCTCTCACAGACATTTAATCTCCAAAGTGCACAAAAGGATGGGGGAATCATACTAAGGCAATGGTGCATGCCATGCACCTTGGGAAAAACATCATGGTGTGCTCCAACTTAAAACAGATAAACTAGGAAGGTGGCCATGTTTTTAAAAAATGCTACTGAACTATGCCTTGCATAGAGAAGGTACTCAGTAATAATGTACATTTACTTTCTCTGGCGCTGGCTTTGTGCACTCATTCTAACAAACGGCTTTCCCCTGTGAGTTGCCAGTAATAAGGATAGAAGCTGAGTGGGAGGCTGAACTGCAGACAGTTTCCCTGATGCACAGTGACAACTGTGATATCCTCTGCAACTAATAAGGTCAAGCTATGGCTGCTGGCATCTTCTCTGGTAGGAGGGTGACCTGCTTACAGCTTTTTGAGATGAACCTGCAAAGTGACTGTTCAGACTTCATGGGACAGAAGAAAGCAAGCTGAGTGTGGAAAATATTCGAGTCAGAATTTTATGATGACTGTGAATCCTGGTATAGGCACACACACTCCAAGCCCTTCCTAAGACTAAGAGGTCTTCCTTCCATCTTAACATGCCTGCCTATCCCTTTTGGGAGTGCAAATACACCTGCTGGATTGTTTTAAAGAAATGAGCATTGAATTATACTTTGGCAATTAAATCTCTTCCTCCACTCCTCTTTGTTCACTCTGCATCCATTCATGTGTGAAGTACAGGGCAGATACCAGAACCACTGGGAGGAATAAGATGTAACCCTATAATCTTTCACTTAGTAATCTAATCTCTTTCAAGTACACTGCAAACTCCTTGAAGGCAAAACCCATTTTTAAGCCCTCTCTCAGACACAAACATATAATTGAATATATAAATAAGTTCATGCTGATGTACTTATTCCCCAGATGTTAGATCATTGAAAGAGAGCCATACTTCAAAGCAGAGGTCAACAAACACTTTTTTAGAAGCACCAGATAATAAATATCTTAGGCTTGGTGGACCAAGCCTAATCATCGTCCCTGACATGACTGCTCGGTTCAGCCAAAGAAGCCATAGACAATATACAAATGAATAAGCATGACTACAAATGAATAAGCATGACTATTTTGCAATAAGTTTTAGTTAGAAAAACAAGTGGCGGGACATAGTTGCTGCACAGGCCACTGTTTACCCACACCAGCTTTATATAATGTGACGTATGCATAAAACATAACATAAACAGTACCAATCAAAGTTTCAGTTAGTAGTTCTTACCCTTTTTTGAGGCATGAAGTTCTCTGAAAATATGGCTAACCATCTCCTTTAGAAAACACAACTACACAATGGCACACTCATTTCACCAGTTCTACAGCTGGACGTATGTGTCGTTTGATCTGTAACAGGTTATTCCTAGGAAATTAAAGACGTACCTGCCCACCATGGTGCAAACTGTTCTAGTCTCCCTCAGACTGCAATGTGAGGCTCTCATCAGAATTTGGGTTGCAGCTGAACATCCTTGGAAGTGAACAAGAAACTCTGCTTTTCTCTTGTCTCTGAGCACAAAAGGCAGCACTGTGACTCTTCGGCACGCTGCCTTCATCCTTCCCTGTCCCCTTCTGTGCAGCCACTAAGCGGGGAGCCCTGGAAGCATTTCCATCCACCTGTTTTGACACCTGGGTTTCCAGCGCTCACTGTTTGGGGCGTTCTGCCCCGGTCTGAAGACTCACCAGTAAGCAGTGCACCGGATCCCCTCTCAAATCCGTGTCTGGCGCCTGCAGCAAACGCCAGTCTCTGCCTTTGTTATACGTGATGAATGTCTTCACTTGGTTGTCAATCTTCTTGTTAGCCAAGAACATTCCCTTTATCCCTGCTACCTGGGAAAAATTGACATGGCTGAAAAATACATTGATTTGAGAAGGGATATATTTGTTTACTTAAAAACAAAAGCAGATTGTCAAATTCAGCTGTGAGCACTTGTCTTGGAGGAAAGAGGGTGAGAGGATGGGAGGGGGATGATGATTAAGTAAAATGACTCCCTGGGTGGTGGGAAAGCTGTGCCTGTGTGGTAGGGGGAACACAATGCAAGTTTGATAGAGGATTTTCAGTTCCCCTAAGGTAGGTTGGTAGTAGCTTGCCATTACCCAGAGATAAACTTTGGTGCTTTCAGTTTGGTTGCTTGGTAAATTATTAATACACAAATGCTATTTTTATATTATGTTAGGTGTTAAATAAAGTCTTAAGCTTTATTTCATTTAAACCTGGTAGCAGTCCTCTTGGGTAAGTATCACTTACTCTCTTTTACAGATGAGGAAACTGAGGCTCACCCAGGTTAACCGACTTGCCCGAGGTCACACAGTCGAAGGAAACACTGGGCTCCAGGAACACACCACCGTAAGTGGCTGACCTGGGATTTGAACCCGCAGCTGTGTCTTCACAGCTCAGTAATTCAGGGGTGTCCAGTTGGCAACTCTGCGCCACGCTGGAAGAAGAGTTGTCTTCGGCCCCAAATACATTGTGATGCATAATCACAAAAAAAAATCCCATAAGGTTTTAAGTAAATGTACAGTTTTAGGTGGGGCTGCATTCACAGCCTTCCTGGGCACGTGCGGCCCGCAGGTTGGACACCCCCTAGATCACGTTGCTGTCTAGAGTCCTGGGCATTGAAAGAGGTCAGTGAAAGCTTCTGATCCCATTACTACTGTTTTTTTCTTTCATGTTTTTCTGTTACACATTGCTCTACTAAGCCACCGAAATACACTGAACAAAAGAGAACTGTTTTTAAACCGAAAGAAGTAAATCCCTAAATCGGTGAACAATCCCCTCCTCCATTCCCACAACACCGTTCTTCCCACTATTGACAGTTCTTATTAATTATTTTGCTATGAAATATGACTGCCTTCTCTCCACTGTATGCTATGAAAGAGTAACAGTTGGTAAGTATCCCAAACTGTGCTGTAACAAATAATTAATTATGCATTATAATTTGGGGGGTTGAGTTTATTAAACACATTCGTACATAATTTTGTTCTGCCTGAAATGATGACGACCCAGGGAAATGGGGGGCGATGAGGAAAGGGCCTGAATACGTCGAATTGAGCATCCAGTGCTCTGCATGGGGTAAGCCCGAGACAGAGTTTTCATGACCCTCCTCTGAGGATAAGGAAACAGAAACTTAAGTTAGGCGCCTTTCTGGAGCACAAGCAGGGAACTGGCATATTTGAACGATTTAATTTAACTCAGGCCCCTTCCATTATCATATAAAAATGTTTAGGCAGGTGCGTAAAACAACTGCATGATCCTTCCCGTGAGCCAAGCACTACGCTCAGCCCTTTGCATGTAAAACCTTCAATGTTCACTGCAAACCTGCGCAATAGCGGTTACACCAACCCCATGGGTGAGGAATCCGAGGTGTAAACAAAATGTAATTGCTTAAGATAACACAGAGCTGGGGTTCACACCCCAATTCTCTGACTTCCTGTGTTCTTTCAGCAACAAAAGCTCTGGATCCAATACAGGGGCTGGGCTTCAATCAATAGAAGACCCAGGGTTTGCCTTTGCTCCTGACACATTCAAACCTCATTAGTTTGTACCTGCTGATTTGGCATCTGGGATAATTTAGAGTTGGGCCAACTTCGTACACTTTTGGAAGACATGTTTGTTAAGCAAATAAATGGCATAAATGAGTGACTGGGAAGAATGCTTTGAACTGCTTAGGAAAACAAGCCTCATTTGGGGCAATCACCAGAAGTCAGAAGAGCTTCTTACACATTGTCTGCCCTCAGCAAATGTGGGAGACGTAAATTCCAGGGGCACTCAGCCTTCCAACAATGGCATGTGAATTACAGATAATTTTAGTTATTCACTCACTACATCAGCTCCAAAAGGACTACTCACTGGGGAAACTTGTATTGGTTTTGCATGTGTTCGAAAGACTGTTACATATTTAATACGACTAAACTGCCAGTTCTTTAAACATTAAATCAGAATTTTCCGAAATTCACATACGTATCTTCCCTGCACAGTGCACCCTCATGAGGAACAGCACGATCGTACCCACCCGACACTCTAGGAGGTGACAGTAGGTACAGGGGAAGGAAAATATTACCTCTTCCCGTAGCTTCATTGCCCATTTCCCTTTCTGCTCTCCCCTCTGCTGGCCAGGGCAGTGAAGGGCTCTGTGTGTTTAGGAGCTGATTCATTTGATTTGCAGAAGCAGTGACTTCATTGGCTCCTGACTGCTTGGCCTTATCAAAAGCCACTTGAGCAGAGAGCTGCACTTTGTAATTCATCCCTCGCAGCTTGGCCTTCAGGTTTATCGGGGGCATAAAAACTTGGCAGAACAGAGGGAATGTGTGACAAGATTGGAGAGCTGGAGAGGGTCTGCTTAGTTTCCTCTTGCAGCCAAGGCACAGGGGTCCATGAAAATCCTATGAGGTGTTTTTTGATTGTTTGCTTCTTTGGACTTGTCTGCAGAAATAGTCACCCTGGCTCATAAGGTGTTCATTTTTTTTGTTTTTGTTTTCCCCTTTTCCGCCCTTTCCTGTACCTTTTACTCTGAGCCCGAGAAGTCCATCTTTCCGTGTGTCTTGGTGCACCCACATGCCTGAGACGCTTTCCTCCAGGGCTCTTCTCTGAGGCCTCATAAGACATTTCCCAGGCTCTCCCCCTCCTACTGCAGGACTGTGGCTATCAAAGGAGCTATATCCAAAATATGGGATATGTGTAATTGTGTGTATGTGGTGCACGTGTGTTTATGCATGCACGGAAGGTCTGGGGTTCCCCTGAGGATGAGAGGACATGGTTTGGTTGTCAGACAACCTCCCCCTGTATCCAAGCCTGTGCCAAACTGTGGAATGGAATGGGGCTGGGGGACAGGACCAGGTGGGGAAAGAACCATTCCCCATGGAAGACACACCTTCACATAGACACACTTTCCAAGGCAGACACTCCTATGGGAATGACGGATCTCACCGCTGGATGTGTCTTCCTTTGGGGGGAGACCCGTGACCTTCTCTCCTTCTCTATGTTTCTGAATTCTGTGCAGAGACACCGAATGTACTGAGGGGCCACTTTTCTTCCTCTGCCTCTCTCTCATATGGGGAATTTTAAACCAGAAGCCTCAAAGGTCATTAGTGATTGTTATTCTTTGATATCACATAAACCATTTGGATTAGACTTTAAAGGTGAAGTGTTGTAGCTCAAACCTCGAGCCATCCATGAAGCACATCAGCACCTGCACTGTGCCCCAGGATGATGTCTTACTCTCTTTGATCGCATAGGCTACTCCCAGTCCCTTGGATCACACACCTTGACACTCTCTACTCATCCACTCCTCCAGGCCCAGTTAATAACCCTTTTTCCAAAAACTGGCATCTCTTTCTTTCCTGCATGGTCCCAAGCTCTTTTTCTCTGTCCTCCAATTTGTCTCTCATACAGACGGTACCTATGCCTTGGCCCTTAACCAGTCCATACACTTCTTAAGGGCATCAGTCTTCCCAAAAACTTCCCTAGTACTCCTTACACTCCTTGAAACAAGTTAATTCACCATGACATCACCTATTCTCTCTCCATTATAATCCCCCACTCTGGTGTAACTTGTGGATTGTCATGCAAGTCACCATATTTCTTCATTAACATTAATGAAAAGTCACTTGGTACAAAAAGTCCTGGTTTTGTGTCTAATAAAATAGGTAGCAAGACTTCTGCATTAGAAGATACAACCACAATAACAGTAACGGAGATTCACTGAGTACCTATGAAGTGTTAGGCCTTCCACGAAAGGCTTTGTGAGCCTGAGCTCATCAATCTGTTCGCGTGCTCTAAGTGGCAGAGTCAGTATCCTCATGTTACAGATGAGAAAACCAAGGGTCATTTCCTTGAGAACCATAGAACTGGACTCCCAGTCAGTTTGCCTAACTCCAGAGGCCACATACTTAACTGTATTATTTCCTCAAACTTCTCTCGCCCTCTAGAGCATTCTGAGAGAAGTATCATATTTGGATATCACATTTACAGGAAGCTGCCTTTTATCCATTCAGTAGTACATTTACTCTATAGTTGTTCAATAAATATTCGTGAGCTTCAACTATTTATCACATATTCTTACAAAACTGGGGATATAGCATCTAGTATGTCTAAACAATGATGCATTCATTCTACAGACCTTTTTTTGAGAGTTAGAATATGCTAGGTGCTGGGACCTGGATTTCTTTGGTGATTTAAAGGGAGAGCCCAGTTATCTCCTTTGCCTTTCAATATTTACTGTGAGAGGGTCCTTTCCTCCCCATCTTTCCCACGTTCCATGCGGAGGTTAAGCTGGGAAGACCCCGGAACAGAGTTCTTGTTCATTTCTGCCTCTCACACTGACTGGGAGGTGATTCCGCCCACCCTCTCTGAGTCAGACTCTCATTACAAACCCAAAGTGTCAACATTTGAAGGATATGAAAGAGACGAATCAAACACTGGCAAGAAAGAGAGTATACTCATGAGCGCAATTTCTTCGGGCTTTAGGGGGTAGGATATTTTTCTGTTCTAAAGAGAGGATCCCAGCCAAAAGAGACATATCCTTGGCAGGTACCAGGAGTACCTCTGTAGTCACAGAACCCATTGTCAAAACAGCCTCCCTGTTCTTTCCTTCCCTGCTGCCCAGATCACGCAGCACTCTTCTGCCAGGGAGACACTAGTCTTCAATAATTATGAGACATTCTATGTCCTGTGATAAATATATCCTGTATAGGAGAGGGCTTCTTTTCTTCCCTACCCACTATACTGGATTGTAAGAGGCACTCTTTCCCTAAGACATCAAGGTATTAGCTCCCTCATCATAATGGGTGAGCTTTCTCTTTTAAAGAGAGCACACTTAAAACATGGAGAGGACACTATGTGTGTAACAGAACATGTACCATGTCTTTTTGACACCTGCTGTGGCTCATGCATATGTGCCCACATTCTGGGCATTCTGAGTTTGTTGGCCAGGTGGCTTCACTTCCAACACAAACCTTTCCACTTGGCTGGGTAAACTGTCATTGTCCATTAAGCCAAAGAGCTCTTCATCATTATTAATTAATATTCACTTCCCAGAGGAGGAAAGATCTTGTCTAGAGCTGTCAGGCTCCCTCTCATCACCCATGCCGGATACATGTGCGAGGAATCACATGTCTCAGACACACTGGTCACATCTCTTTTGATCTGGCCACCATCAGGCTCGCTGGCTTCTGTGGCCCATCACACATGGTACCACTGGAACACCACGCTCTTCAGGAATGACAGATTTTCAAGGCACTTGTTTCTTAGGCTGATTTTACACAAACACAACACTCCGTGAAATGGGCATCTACATAATAACACTGAATTTAGCATGACTGCAGGCTCGGGACTTGGTTCAGAAGGTAGTGAACAGGTCCAGAGCAATCACCTGTTCATTCGGTTGAGGTTGGCTTTCCCAGACCATTTTCTTTCTCCAGTCTAACTTCTGTGACTGCTAAGTAAAGTCTAGTATCAGTTATCCTGCCCACCAATGTTCCTTTGTCTTACAGCTGTTACTCAGCTACAATCCCAACTACTGGTTCTTTCAGAGACACAAAACAGTTTGTAGTGATGAGTTTGCATACTCCAGGCTTAGGAGGCTAAATCTGCCACTTACTAGCTTTGCAATCTTGCAAAAATGATTGCACTCCCTCTGCCTCCATTTACTGATGTGTGAAATGGGAGTGATTACACTCCCTATGTCAAAAAGTTTAATTTATGAATTTAATTAGATAGTCATTGATGGTTTTTTACACACTGATGGTTTTTTGACACGCAATGACACCCAAACTATTTGCTGTTATTATGATGTTTGATGAACAAAAATGAGTTTCCAGCACTTCTGCTCTGTTGCCAACTTCCCCAGCTCCCATTTTTTGATTCTCTTGAATGAGGCCTATGTTCAGTGAACAATTCATACCAAGGGAAATTTCGGGTGTTTCCATAAGTTTACCATTATGGCTCCCCAGCACTTCGTTCCCGACATTTCCCTGTCTCATCGCGTACACACTTGTTCTACTGTAAAGAGAACTGCATTTGTCACAGGGCTCCAATGTGTGTGAGCAAAGTAACTGATTTTAATGAGAACTGTGCTTCCTTCTGCATTCCCCACAAAGACTCATCCTTGATACGCATCCTCGATAAACTGACGCATCCTACACTTACACACTGTACAGTTTCCTTCTGCTAAACTAGCTTAAAGAGCACACACACACAGGACTGGCACGCAACCAGCAGGCAGAGGCGTACAGAAAACACCCCAAAGGTCACCCCCGAAGGTGAGCAGATGTACACTCCATGTATTCTCTGTCCCCACTGCCTCCTAGGTTGCTCATCTCTGCTTCTTATTACTTCATTTATGGATTTTCTTGCTTTTCATTTATTTCTAAGAGTTCATCATTCATTGCGATTCTACTGGGAAATTCATGCTAGATGGCTCCCAGCTTCCCGCTACCCAGAACAATCAGATTTAAGGCCCATTTGTGCCAGGTTCCTCGTCAGCCAATATTCTTTCTATCTAGGTAATCAGCAGATACGGCACTGCCACTCTGATCACATCAATTTCAATTCTAGTTGCTGTGAACTGTCAGGCTAACAAAACAAAGATCCTTCTTCCCAGGCCCCAGGATGCAGAACACCTTTACATAACGCAGTCACCCCACTGCTCTTACTGTGATGATAATGAGAGCCAGCAGATTTCTTGCAGATAGTCAGGTAGTCAGCTGCAAGAGAAATGCAAGAGGAAACACAAAGAATAAGCAAAAAATGGTTGCCATGGCCAGAGGTCACCCAGCCTCTTTTTCTCATTCTTTACCTGTTAGCGGTGTTTAAATTCAGAAAACCATTTGAGAAAACAGATGCAAATAACAGGACATTGCAAAGTCATTCCTGTCCAAATCTGTCATCTCTTCTGTCATCAAGGGACCAATTAAAATGTTCTCTAGTTTGGCAGAAAACAAATTTTATACGGAGACATTATTCTGCATTGACTTGAGAAGAGGGGAGGGGATAATCAGGAAGAGGAAAATGCATGCTGCAAATCAGAAAATATTTTTGAGAGAACAAGGACAGAGCCAAGAGCAGGGAAGCAAACTGGGTGATTAATCTGGAACAGCTGCTTTGACTACATACCAGGCAGACACTCGAAGCGAGATCTTTCCATTGTAAGTGCTGGATCAAGGCAGGATAACATATGACATTTCAACAAAACACCCCTAAAGTTTAAATGTTTGTAAGACATTTACAAATGAGGAAAGAAATGTAGCAATTTACACTTGTTTATAAGGAGACAACTTGTTGGTGTTAAAGAATGTCATATGGCCATGCTAATTGCAATATGGGAAGGAGGAGAGCTCTGAAATATTGGAAATATGTTAGACATTTAACCAATGCAAAAAGATTTTTGAGACTATAAGAACAGAACATTGAGCTGGGGCTTAAACTCAATGGAACACAGTATGCATTAAGCCATCCACAATTTGTTGTGTACTTTAGGCAGGGTTCCTGTACTTCAAGGAGATTAACTTGTTAATCCCCAGAAAAATTCTATCAAGCAGGTATCCTGTTTATCTCCATATTTTCAGTGAGGAAACTGAGGCTCAGAAGTTACTGGATGTGTCTCAAGAATACGTATAGAGGGTATCATTAGGATTTAAACTCAGGCAACCCCACTCCAAAATTTATACTCTCAATCACAATTTTATCCAACACAAAACTGAAACTAAATCACCACAATGGGTTAACATTTTCCAGAATACATGTTTAGTTTGAGGCTGAGATACTATATTTATCTAGAACATGAACAGGAAAGAAAGTGGAAGAAACTTGTGAATATATTAAAAAGATTGCAGTGCATTTTTCTAAATATACACACACACTATGTCCTTTGCTATTCTATTATAATTCCCATGATAAATCTCTGGGCTCTGAATTGGCATATAGTTTGTTAACATGCCTTTATATATACTGAGAAGTTTAAATAGTGGAAGAAAATCTGTAAGAATTTCTAAAGGAGATGGAGTATAGATAGCATTAAAAGAAACTTAAGTGATAGATTGAAATTTCTTCAGTCAAATTGGTTTCTTTCCTTAGTATACGAGATACATGCTTCTCCTTATACAAAAATCTCTCAAGTGTCTGAACTTGAAGTCAATGAAATGATAGGCCTATTATGACTGCATATACTTGAACCAGTTTTAGAGTATTTTCCAGATAGAATATAGGTATATGATTACACATCCCAAATTCTGAATGTGTTCTTTAATGAGTCATTATGAACCATTACCAATCCTTCATAGTTCAAGATATGACTGACCAATAGCTAAAAAAAAAATAGTGACAAATGACTACAATCCATCTCAAAATAGCAGCATTCTTTCTACCCAGTGTGTCTTAAATAGCAATTAGAGTATCAGCATTCATCAAGAAAAATAACTGATCCAACCTATAAGATTTTATGTTTAGTCTTGGTCATTTTGAGAAACAAAGACCACAGTTCCCTTATGGAAGGCTGGTAAACTCTGCTTCATGCCTCTCTCCCAACACTCCTCACATAGCAAAGAAAGACCTAGTACTCTTATCTCACTCATTTTTCCTCTGAGAGACTGATGATTAGCTAGTGGAGGCTAAGTTAGAATGGTGTTCAAGTCCAACGGAGTATCTCATGATGCCATGCAAAGTGTCCCCTTCACTCTTTTCCTCAGAAATAAAGGTCCACTGTCCCCTTTGCTGCACATCCTGATACACCGCTAGCCCCTCAGACTATTCTCAAATTGCACACTCCATCCTTCTCACTGAAAGCCTTAAATTGCTTCTCTGCTTCCTCAGACACTCTCCAGGTCCCTTGGGGCTTCCTGGCCTGTGGACTTGGTGGGAAAAGGATCCCTCCCGGAGCTATCCTGTGGATTACAAATTAACCAATACAGATGTTTGACAACTCACTCCCTCTCCCCCCAAAAATGTGGCCACGTAATTCCATTGCATTTAAAGTGGTGGAGAAAACAGCCAATATGGGGCCTTTGTCATCCAGACCGGGCACTGGAGTAGCTTACGACCACACATGTCTTGTGACATACCTCATAGAGGTCAATCATGACATTGCCCTCGGGGCCTCTGCTGCTCTGGACATTCTCCAAGGCCAGGGTGAAGTAGACACCCCGGGTGTCTGAGATGTAGAGATTGTAGGTGTCATTCTGGTTCCATTCTTGGACAGCTGCAAACACTTGGTTCTCATCTGTGCTGATGACGTGCATGTCCTAAAGCAAGATGCAGGAGCGTGAAGAAGAGTTTTATACATCAACCTGACATGCACCCAAAGAATGTGGAATCGAATGACATATACTGCAATGGGCACTTAGGAACATAGAGATTTTCCTTTCACGTATTTGTGAAGTAATAATTAATTAGTTGAGTGTTATTAATATATTTCCTTTCTCGCTTATGGGGTTAGGCAGCAAGGTCATGAGAAAATAGGATAGAGGGATGCTTGGTAGCTCAGATATAATTTAATTGCCTCATTAGATAATTTGAAGAATAGTTTCTCAAATATGTATGACTTTGGAGAATCAGTCATCCTGATATATTTGCCAGCCACACTGTGGTATATGCTCAGAAGGATTATATGAAGCATATTCCTTCATAAAGAGCTGGAGAAACAGAGAGAAAATAGACAAGCTCTGCATCTCTCAGTGTGGTCCATGGCACAGTGTGGGCATCACCTGCAATGTGTTAGACACACAGAACCTTAAGTCTCACCTACTGGATCAAAATCTGCATTTTAATAAGATCCATGGGTGATTAACATGTGCGTTAAAGTTTGATAAGCACTGTCCGAAGGCTCAGCAACCCACAGAAACCCTCAAGGAACAATGTTCACCTGAGAAACCAAAGCACTAATCTTCATGTTAATGAGCGTTCAAGGACTTAGCTGCTTATCTAAACCTTTACTCTGAGAAGTTCAGCAGGAAACCTTATGCAAAAGGGGAAAAAATAATCTGCAGAACTAATGATGTTTCCAAGACCCTGGTGGTCCCAGAGTTAGAAACAAGGCAAAGCTAATATGGGGGCAGTGAGCAGATGTTTCTGGGGTAGGAATTTCAAATCCTCCCTCCCCCGTTTGGAACACCAGTGAAGAGGGAGGGTGTTCAGAGAAAAGCTGACATTGACCAAGACTTTGTGTCCCCCTTAGCAGATGCCTGTACATGGGGCCTTGGCAGTCTTCACCCTTTACCTGACATGGTAGACACTGGTATAACTTTCAAATAACAGAAATCAAAACCAAACAACAAAATTATACATAAGCATAAAGAAAGTAAAACAACATGGAAAGATTCTTGGCCTTTGTTTAGCTTAGCACTCAAATTTTCCCAGACAAACCATCCTCTCTACCCGTGAAAAGCTTCAGGAGATCTGTCCATCTTTCTTGGTCAAAATTCCAGTATGGCAACATACTGGAATTCTACCTACCTCCTCATCTAATTTTCTTTTTGTAATATACGTCCATGTTCAATCAATCAATCAATCAACCAATCAGCAATGCAGCTCTGACCATGCTTTAGACATAAAGGAACAAGTTTCTCCCTCTTCTTTAGCCATGATCAAAATGAACTCAAATGATCCCAGAGAGAAGTCTTCCACAGCGGGGTGTCAAACCCATTTTCACTGGGGGTGCATCAGCCTCGTGGTTGCCTTCAAAGGGTTGATTGTAATTTTAGGACTGTTCAAAGGACCGTTCAAATGTAACTACTCCTTAACCAGGGGCAAGGAGCTCGGTGCTGCGGAGCTTTTACTGCGTGTGGGACCTGATTAAATTACAAGCTGGAAGGAGGATTCAGCCCTAGAGTTCGTCACAGTTTTATAGAGAGAATCCAGAGGGAGGAGGCCAAAATGAAATCCTTCCCATTGATTCAATGTGGTTAATACTGCAAACTAAGTTTTGGAGTAAAGGTTGGCCATTGCTTGTATCAGCCCATTTACATTTCTTCTGAGAATTTTATCTTGATCTTCATTGAAAAACGTCCTTATCCCTTGCAGACAAGCGTCTTCCTTGTACCTAGTCTCTGTTGCTTCCTTCCACGCTCTTGACACCAGAAGTAGAATTATAGGGCTAGCATTTCCAATATCCAATATCCCTGATGATATCCATTAGATCTGTGATGGATACAGGACCCAAGCAAAGTCACTCACCATGACTTTGGAATGAAGCTGAAATTATTAGAGGGGCAAAAAGCACCTCTTACGACGGATTTATCAACAGTCAGAGGTTTAAAAAATCTAAATCTGATAGAAACATATCTTGGAGGGAGAAGATAAAACCGATGCTGAAGGAAACAGGCTCCAAGTGCAGAGAAGGCAGGCTGGATTCTGTGGTGCTGCATTTTTGAAGGCGAACAACCTAAAAGTCTGCCCCACCCATACACTGTTTGATTCGAGAGGACAGTAGCGCGAAACAGTTTTAGAAAATGGACTTTGAAATAAAAGTGCTTGAGTCCAAATCCTGACTGTCACTTGGCTGTGTGGACTAAACCCTGTGCCCCAGGATTTCTACCTGCAAGATAGAGATAATGGGGTGCCCTCCATGGAGCTGGGAGGATGAAGTCGGCCAGAGAGTGAGGGGCACTTTTGATGGGGCCGGGCACCAAGCATCTGCGCCACCTGCTAGGGACGCTCTGGGAAGCAAGCTCCTCAAACCGCTTTATTGACTATGCAAGGCTGGTGTGGCCTTTGCTCTGGCTGCAAATGTTAGTCACTAACTAACATCCTCCACAAAAATCGGTTCACCCACGGTTGCTGTCTTTGTTTCTTTACAGTGGAGGAAATTAGCTGTGGAAATTGTGCAAGGGCTATTCAACCACGGAGGGCAAACCTTCTGTTGCTCCCCATTTCCTACAGGAGAAAGGCCAAAATCCTTAACCTGGCATTTACCATCTTTAAATAACTACTCGTAATTCATGTGCCATTCCGTGTCAGCAGGTTACAGCGGCACCCCTCCATTTCATTGGAAGTATTTCAGCCATAACCTGGCCCCAACAAAACAGATTTCGGTGCCTTTGGGGTAAATGTGTGCATTGGCAAACCTCTGTAGTTTGGGTTGCAATACATGTCTCATTAAATAATTCTTCAGGCCAGAGTGCATCACGTATGTTACGCCACTCATTCAAACCTGTAGTTGTTGGATATGTAACTGAAAACATAGGCATGTTAAATGTCTATGACAGGTAGGGAAGCAGTCATACAACAAAAGTGGATTAAATGGGCCACCTCTAGGTAAGGGCCAAGGTGAGGTGTCTTGCCATCCATATAATTTCATTACGTACATTGAACACTTTTTAAAAAAATGATGTTGGTCTCACATATTTTCATGGAATGCTTAGACATATTTAAATGACACTGTTATTTTTTTTCTTCTTGCCTACATCCTCCTCTATCAGGAAAACACGCTCTTTCTCCTGAGTAGCACTTTATGGTGAATGCTTCTCATGAGACACAGGATTTTAGGCCAAGAAGTGATCTTTGAGACCTTCTGCTACAGTCTTTCCAAAGTCTGTTCTGTAGGACACCCACACTGCGAGATTTTAACAGATGCCAAAAAAGGGGCCCTTTAGTAAAATGGTCTGATTAAAGCTGGGCTAGATAACTGTCTTGTCCACAGCATGTCCTAGAGCCTTCAACATACCAGCTGGCTACCGTTACTCTCTAGTCAAGGAACATACATTTTTTTTTTTTACTTTTTAAAAAAATTATTGTTCAAGTACAGTTGTCTCCATTTTACCCCTACCACTTCCCCCTCCCCAGCCCCCCACCCCATAAGTTTCTTTCTTGAAAATTTGTTTGATCATAGAACCAAATTTTCATGAAGCATCTCTAAGGACATTTTATTCTGAGTTTCACATGCGAGAAAATACTGTAGTGAGCCTGAGCTCCTTTTTTCAAAACTGTGAGAAAACAAACAAACGAAACAGGGAAAGAGAAACGGATGAACCAGCCCAAGGTTTCGAAGCAGGTTAGTGGCAGATTTAGGTTCGGAATTCGGGTCTCCTGCTGAGAATCAAGCAGCCTTTGCACAACCCACGCCCCGGTTCGCATCGATCTTCCACCGCACAGACAACTGGATCCATACTACTAATAATATTACCTTGCTTTTATAGAGTATCTGTCCTCCAAAATGCTCAAAGCACTTTCATATGTATTGCCTCATTTATCTCACTTGAGTAGCTCAGAATGAGCTCCAAGTAAGTGAAGGGAAGGAAACTGTCACAGTCTCCCTGTTGGCCGGCCTCATGCTCTTCGTGGGAACAGCAATATTAGACTCTCCCCCCCTTTTCTGGCCATCTTTATCATTATATTATTTTTTTTGACATATTTCAGTGTAACCATGGTCATTCAAGAGATGATACAATGGCAGCGGATGATGAAGGAAAATTTAAGCAAGAAAGTGCAGGTCTCTCTCAATTCCTTTGGCGGCAGGAAGCTTTGTTCCTTTCCAGCCACAGCAGCCCCGGCTTTGATAGAGGGCTGTGGAATACATGTGCCTTCACCGCGGACCCCTCCACCAAGCAGGGCTTCTCTTTGAAGGTGTAATGGGATTGTAATGAGGCATCTCATTGCCTTAAATAGTCCAGTCCCACTTGGACCAAATAACACATTCATTAGCTGTGCGGCTCCTATTTTTCTAAGGACAGGCTAAATTAATCACGGCCATCTTCTCTCAGACCTCAGATGAGGCTGAGTAATGGAGCACACTCGTCTGGGAGAGCGGGGGAGGATACAGACAGCCGACTGGGGTTTCAAGTCAAGCTTGTCCTTCTCGATTGGAGCCACGCCACTGGGCACGACTGTCACCGGTGATCTGGTGGCCCTAACAAGATGGCTCTGAAGAAGAAATGCAGCGTGTGTTTCCTAACATTCCTGCAACAGGTCCATGGATGTTTCCTTGATTTTTAAACTACCGTGTCTGGGGTTCCTTAGGTCCATGGAAATATTTTTCTGGGTGCTCCTCAGCTTATCAAAATTTGGAGGGATACTGCTCTCTTCTAATGATAGAGCCTATGGATAGAGCCTTGGGATAATCCCAAGGGAAGAAAGGTATAAAGACTGTTAGTCTGGGAACCCAGAGGCTTAAGCCTTCGTCCTGGTGCTGCTGAAGATAGCACTTGGGTTGGCTGAGACCTATTCCACTCAAAACATAGGTACCTAAGAGTGAGCATTAGATGTGCGACTGGAGTTTGCTATTTACTAAACTGGTCTCAGTTCCTACATGCTTCTCGAACAAGAGCATTTCACTGCATTCAGTAGAGTTCTTGTCTTCGAAAGTGGTAAATCTTGTAAGTCAACAGCTTTATTTGTTGGTCAAAGAAACACATTTATTTCAGTGCTCAAGAGCAAGAAAAACCAGGTCTGTTGGTCTTGCTGAGGTAAGGTGTTTATGGCTCTCCTGGGCCTTCCTAAGAGATTACAAAGGGTGATTTTAACAACGGTCAGTTTTCCTTTACATACTGACTTTATCCCATTCTTCTTTAAGGTGCAACCCCAAAGTTGTAAGCTTTTGTCTTACTGGTAACCATTTGAAGCCAAATCAAACACAAGGAGGATTAAAATGCACACAGGTAGAGGCATATCGTTCTGGGCAATTATGACTGTCACAATTCTCTTAGCAGCTGAAACAACTACTAACATAAACATAGTTCTTTGGAATTAATAGTGCAGTTTACTGGGTTATTATCTGTAAAGTGCTGAGGTTTACAGCTCACCTTTCACTATGCTATGGTTAAGGATAATTCTTCCTGGAGTGGCCTGAGCAACTAGCTACCATTGGCTCTCCGAGAGGAGGAGACCTGCAGTGCTCTTCAGTTTTATCTGTCACCTGCTTCTCTGGGCTGCTAGCTGGTGCTGGTTCCAGACAGCATACTACAAAGTCATGGATTAAAAATACAGGACTCAATTAAAAAAAAGTTCTTTAAGTACTTTGTTTAACGCAAAGGTTTCAAAGCTGAGCCACACCTAGATTTAAACCTAAACAGTCTCCTCTTACAGTCCCACAAATCTCTATTGCTCTAAGATCGAGGTAGGGCCACTTGAAACACACAGTGACTCAAGACCTCAGATCCACAGCTGTCAGTTTGATCTCCACTAGGTGGCGCTCCATATTAACGCAGCTCTTCAGCGTTTCTGGGCAGAGCCTTGGACTTGTGCAGATGAGAGTCTCTAACTTCTGTCCGCCACTGTTTTCAAAGGAGTATGTCTTTTGGGGCAATCTAAAAAACTACCCGTGTCTCAGTACTCTACAGACAACCTGTCTCATAAGTCCCATTGAGAGAGAAAGCAAAGGCTGGATACCATATAGCTGCATCACCCCTCGATAATTAATAACAACAACAAAAAATTAGGATGGAAACACATCACACCCACTGCACCGAGACTTGGTACCCAAAGTGTATTTTCTGTCTTGCGGGAAGACCAACACATACTGCTTGGAAACACTTCCTATTGAAAAGCAAAAGCAAATCAGTTATCAATTTGTATAGAGGCTCCTGTAGCAACAATTCGAGAGAGGGAGCTGATAAAGGACAGTGATAAGATTGGCCAAAAAAAGTGGGACAAAGTGAGCTTGGTAAACAGAGGTGGAAGACAGCTGGATGAAAAGAAATCCACCACAAGGAGAGACTGAAGCGGTGTTGGGAAAGGGGGAGGAGACAGGCGTATGTGACTCAGAGGAAACACTACCTTCTACTACGTGAAGAAAGGATTTTGGCCATACCTTGGGCAGAGCATACTTGGGCAGCTTCATCTGGGCAAAGGCGTTCCTCCGGTAGGACACGTAGTAGTGCGGCCGTCCTCCTGACGTCAGCTGGGTCAGAAACATACAGGTTGTAAGAAGAGCTACCGTACCACTTGCAGGTCCTAGAGGAACAGCCACTGAATGAAAGCTGCCAACACTAGGGCTGAAGGCTTACTGCAGACAAGTGAACGGAATTGGCGTTCAGTTCAAAAACAACTCACACAGTGTGTGTGAGTTGGTCAGAGGCCCAGACTGGACCCACTGGACAAAAACACACTTTTTCAGTTTTCACTGTGGTTCAGAAGCCAGGAAACATTTTCAGTGATTATTAACTTTGAAAGATACAAGCCTCGAGGTAAATGGGATCCGTGTCCATCAAGCAGCCCAGCTGCCTGGCCCCAAGACTGAGGCCACAAGAAGGGACCCCCAGGCCATCTCAGATGGAAGGGGTCTGGCTGGCACGGTGGCAGGAGTGGAGTCTCACGTCTCTGGGCTGGACTCCAGTTTGCTGCTGTGACACTGATGGCTGCCAGCATGTCCAACACACAGCAGTGCTGCCGACACACTGGGTGGCAAGTCAAGCCAGGCCCAAAGTCACTGGATCTCCGCCCCCAGGGAAGAGGTGTGAGCTGCCTCGTCCAATGAACCCCGTGGGTGTGAGGAGAGCGGGATGGGGTGTGGTGTCTACCTAGGCAAGCCCACCCTCCAGGGAACTGCCAATCTCTCTCTCCTTTGTAGCCACTCCTTCTCCCCAGCTTTACTGAGACATTACTGACATACACCAGAGATTTTCAGACTGTGTGCTGCAAGAATTTTTATAACACGCAACACCTGACTATGTATTCAGGGGCACTGACCTCTTTTCCCTCAGAATGTCAAGGGAAAAAATGACAACAGCCAACACCATAGCCATCCAATGTGAAATGAAACAAAATCATACTTATTTTTTGTGACATCGGCAAAAAGAATAATATACTTTTTGGTGTGACGCAGAACTTTAGTAATTAGTTTACATGTGCCATGAGATGAAAGTGTTGAAAACTACTGACATATACATATATAAATTCGAGGTGTAAAGTGTGATGATTTGATACACATGTATAGCATAAAATCATTACCATAAATAAAGTTAATTAACACCTCCATCTCTTTAGTTAATTAAGATTATTGTGTGTATGTGCATGGTGATACCATTTCAGATCAGTTTTCTTAACAAATTTCAAGTATATAATGTGGTCTTGTTATGCATAGCCAGCGTGCTATATATTCCATCCCCAGAACTTATCCATTTTACACTTGGAAGTTTGTAGGCTTGACCCACATCCCCCATTCCCTACCTCCTAATACCTGGAAGCCACTATCACACTCTCTACGTTATGAGTTTCTGTGGCCACTCTGAACCCATGTAAGTTCCTGGAGTTTGGATGTGAGCTGCAATTTGCACACTTGGAATGTCAACATGTACTTCGGGAGACTGTTCATCACACACATAAAAATACAGCTATAAAATGGTCATATTCACTAATATGTGGCCGGATCACCTCTTAGTCCTGGCAATGAGTTGCAGGGTCATGTTCAGGGATAGAGGCGGCATGGATAGAAATGATGTGAAACTCTAAATGCAGAGTGGATGCTCATATTTAAGTCATATATGTGGATTATAAATGCTCATTAGACAACAGAAAAGGTTCTCAGGAGAAAAACTGATAGAGATGAATGAGAGCGAGCACCAGTGAGTGTAACCACCTCAGTGCCCCTGGATAATTGATGGGAGGCCATCCGAGTATTCATTGCTCATTTCCCTGAAGGAAAAGGAAGTGTGTGTGTGTGTGATCGTTAGTGAAACATTTACAAAGTAGATAGGCTGATATTGGGCATTTTAAACATTTGCTTCCTCAAACCATGGGATTAAATACTTTAACTTATGATTTCTTTCTGAATAAATATAATAGTGTGCCTCAATCCATGTGTGTTTATACATATTTATACCTGCATACACATATGTGTACCTATGTACATATGTGTATATGTGTGGGTATGAGAGAGAGAGGCTCCTTAAATCCTTAAACACTGGAAAGAAGTACAGCATGCACATGAAACCTGGGCTTCTCAGACTGTTTCCCACTCTCTTAGGAGGTGAAAACCCTGTTGAATACGTCTCATCTAAATTCTCTTTCTCCTAATCACAGTCAGAACATGACAATAACGGCTGATTACTCACCACCTTTCTCTGCTTCCCACCACCTCCAGCCACCCCACAGCTTCCTGTTCCCACCTGTTTCTCTATTTTTAAGGTGGATGTTGGGGAGGAGGCTGATTGGCTGACCGTTCTCCTGATAGGAAGCGACTGGTGTTTCTGCTCAGCCCCCCTGATGACCGATGGGGGTTCTTGGGAATGTGGATGAGGGGGATGAATGGAACTGTGCAACCTTTGAAAGACAACCTGGTGCTCTGAGCAGTGCCCCCCCAAGACCCCCACAGGTCCGAAGGAACTAATTAATATTCTCTTAGTATAGGTGCTTTGATACTTGGTAATGTTCTTTTTGTTGAAAAGATAATGCTTTTTTTTTTCTCTTTTAAGAGAGTGGAAGCAGGCGAAAGAGGCTGCCTTAGGGACAGAAATGGGAAAATGTCTCTGAGACAATCAGTAGAAGTGGACCTTTCATACCTGAACAAACACATAATCATCCTGGACAATCAAGGAGTCCGGGTCAATGTAGCCTGGGAAAGGCTTATTTCTGTTGGCTTCTGTGCAGTTCTGCATTCGGCAAGTGAGGTATTGTGAATCTGGAAAAAACGGGGGGCGGGGCACACAGTATTAGAATCGCAGTGTTCATTTTCTACTTCCCTTGCTAACTCCAAGTCTTTAAATGAACCTCACATTCTTTGTTAACCACATATGGTTATTTTTATAATGGTTTTCATGAGTTTACTCACTGTCAACGCCATCACTGCCGTCTGCCTCTACCAACTCCTGCCGTCCTAGAACTCTCATGCTCCTCAACTATTTTTCCCTTCTAAACCAAGTGAAAGTATTTTCAAAAACTGGCAATAATACTTGTGCTTTCATAGCATTTTTTCCCAATAGGCTTCACCTCTGCACTATGACCTTAGATTAACAAAGAAGGAAACACACACAACATGCAATCATCAGTCATCAGATGCTAGAAGTGCTGCTGTTATAAATAATCAGGGTCTAGGTCAAGATAAAGGTGCTTCTTCTGCTACTAATCAGAGTGAAACAGAACAGAGAAGGGATTCTTGAGTCAAAAACTTTGTTCCCATTTTATAGATGAGTAAATGAAGACCTAGATTCTCACCTGAGCGTCTATAGCAGATGATAAACATAGCATAGTAACTCTTAAGTAAATTTGATCTCTGTGGGACGTATATCATACCAGGGAGGCTGTCCCTGTTTTACAACCACAGCTATTCTGGCCTCTCTACTATTCACATGTTAGTACCCTACTTAAAACTCCTTCTGCATCCTTGGCTTTAGACCCTCCACTACCCACCAACTCAACCTCCCCTTATGCTAAACTCTTTTCTCCCTGTGATTCTTCTAATCTGTTCTACTTTATGTTCAGAAAGTGGCCAAATTTTCTACCACTTCGGAGACTTCATTTGTATTTTTTTCTACTTAAAATGCTTCTCTTCAGGTTATTCCAAAAGATGGTTGTAGATTTCAGCTCACTGTTATTTCTGAGGCACTTCCGTTATCACTTACTATCTCACACTGTTCTGTGAATCCCCTTCATCAAATTTACCATTTACTCTTCCCTCTGTTCATTATTTATTTTTTACTCCCCACATGAGAATATAATCTACTTAAAGACAGAGACCTACCTCTTTTTTGTTGCGGTTCACTACTGTACTTCTAAGTTCTAACAGCTTTCCTTACACATAGTAGACAACGCATACATATTCATTGAAACATGCCTCCTTATTGTAATATATCTTTTAGAATGAAAAAGGAAGGTGTTTTACATTTTCGATGCTTACTGAATGGTGAGTTTATGTATGTATTTATTTTTAGAAGGAGGGAAAGGGAGAGAAAAAGAGGAAGTGAAACATGGAAATAGGAGTGTGAGAGAGAAACACTGATCCGTTGCCTCTCGGGATCGAACCCATAATGCAGGCATGTGCCCTGAGTGGGCAACCTTTAGCTCTGAGCATGACGCCCAACCAACTGAGCCACACCAGTCAGGGCTGAATGGTGAGTTTGATCTGAGGACATCAGATATGTATGCAGCAATCTCTTCTTTCAAATGAAAGAAATCAGTAGATAGTTATTTGCATGAAATAAGGATAGGCAATACCATACAGAGTTGAATATAAGAATTCACTAGTTTCCCTTAAGGAACTTTCCAGGATTACCTTTACTTAAGGAACCTGGGTATCCCTGTCTGCTACCAGGAGAGTCACTAGGAGAGGCCAGAACATTTGCTCCATCTGAACAATCACTGATGTGCTTGCTGATAAGCTCTTAGGAGACTGAAGGAGGAAGGCTTTACCCACAACCTCCATCTGGCTACCGTAGGTAGAAATGACAAAAGGGGATAGCTCCCAAGTCCTTTAACCCACCTAGGCCTTCGGAAATCACTGCGAATGACGAACTAAAGAAGAGCCCTCTGCTCACCCGTCCCTGTCTCCTTTTTCAGACATTCTAACAGTTCCACTTTAGGGAATAAATCAAGATCTTTGTCCTTGAATACGACTTCTGGGACCGAACCCTTCCCAGAGTGGTCCTCCCCACAGCACACAAAAACACCAATTCACAAATTCACACTCCACCAGACCCTCTTACAACTTCCAGTTGACTTCTGTTTTTTTTTAAAGGTAACTTGGGGCCATAGAAACAATGAAAATTGACAACTTTGAGACCTGGGCTTGAGTTCTGGTGTGGTCACTTATTGGCTGAATAGTTCAAAGGAAATCGCTTAGTCTTCCTGAGTCTTGCTACCTTCATACTGGGGGTGGCAGTGTCAACTATCTGGTAGTTTGCCTGTGAGAACTAATGCAAACCAATGATACATATGCTAAGTGTTTTGAAACTCAAACTTCTACAAATGTCAGTTATCATTGACATTGATCAAACAAACTCCTGTTTTCTCTTTTGCTCTTTTTCACAATGGTTAGCTCAGTCTGGTGCACATAGCAGGTCCTTAAGAAGACTGGTTGAACTGAATTTGAGTCCTCCAGCTGTACATCTGGATCGGGTAGTGTTGGTGACCTGCCCAATACCCATTCCTCCCCTCCTCTCCAAATCTGTTGCTCATCCTTTCTCCATGTGATAGAAGCTTCTGTATGCAAGGACCAGTCCTCCTGGGTCTATGCCCATTCAGGGTCCTCCTACTTCCCCACCACGGGTTGATTTAGGAAAGGGCATTTAAACCCAATTCCAGTACATAAAGAGTGAGGAAGCCCTTTTAAGGAGCTGCTATAAAAAATCTTGCTTCTAAAGAGTATATAAGGATTTATAGAAATGCTTAATATACTTTATATTACACAAAGAGCTTACCAATGAATAATGTTTCATCAATGTGCATTTCTGAGTTTTGAAAAATAGACCATGGCTGAATAAGACATTGACAGGACGGAAGCTGGGTAAAGCTATACTGTCTTGGTAACTTTTCAGTTTATCTAAATTTATTCCAAAATAAAAGTTTCTTAAAAGTAGGTTACCAAAATATGTGCATATGGACCCAATTTTGTGCCAGATGTATATATAGCTATCAGTGTATGTGTGTTTGCACAGGAAAAATGAATAAAAGATGTATTATATATGAGATGTCAACAATAGTACAGAGGCAGCGATGTGAACGAGATGAACAGTGCGCATGCAAATCGGTGATCGGCACCCTCCACCTGGTCGGGCAGGGGACCCTGGTGGGCTTCTGAGACCCCTCTCACAAAATTAGAGAACCATCTTAAATCCCCCTCTCCCCTCCACTCCCCATACTGAGGAGGGGTGGTACAATGAGCCTGTCCCTGGGCTGTGTGCACAAAACGTACAACTGGATGACGCAGAAAAAGCCCGAGGAAGAGGCATGGAGTGCATTTCTTACTCAGAGTGACTCCAAGTGAACTTGGAGTGGGAGGAAGAGGCTCAGTTTTGCGCTGCCTGCCCTTGGTGAAGTGCCCCTGGTTTGTTCCCTTTCTCTTACTAATGGCAGCAGAAAGAACTGGGCTGCGCTTCATAGCCAGGGGGACCAATCACTCTCACTCCCTCTGGGGCGGGCTGTAATAGAATTAAGTATGATGAACTCTTTCCATATTCAATTCCGGGGAGTGTATGATGTGATGCCATAGGAAGTATCTTGTAATTTGGCATTAATTAACGTGAATTAATGTATGCAACAGCTAGACTGGAGAATTAATTGCATTACTTTCCCCACACAGATGTTTTCCTTGCCATAGGTAATTAGGACACAGGGCTGTTCTTTTCCAGTGTTCTCACTCTGCGACAGCTGCTGTTTGGAATAAAGGAATCCCCATCCTCCCAAATCTGTGATGATCAGAGAGAAAGGAAGCTGCCTTGAAAAGGCCAGGCTTTGAGCAGAGGAATGAGGTGGGAGGAGGGGGGATCAATGCGAGCTTGAAGCCTGCTCGCTTGGTAAAGCCAAGCAATCACTTGACCTCTTTAAATTCGGACAAGTACAGTGGGAATAAAGAAGAGGCCTCTTGCCAGGGGCTGTGATGGCTGAAGAGCTGAGGCATGAAGGTGTTCAGTCTGGCGCCTGGCTGGACTGTGCTCCCATATGGTGCCCGTGGTTGTTACTGAAATTCCCCATCCTTAGTCACCAGCACGGCTCCCTATGTGTCAGGGGAACTGCTGTAACGTGTATCACAGATATTCTACTGAGATGTGATCTTTCTTAACAGTTGATGTTTGACTTGGGTTAAAGTTTTTTTAAGGTAATTTTTAGAGAGACCATGAAAAATATGCTCCTTGTATAATTACTAGATAGCAAATATTCTGGGCAGGGCAGAGCTGGAAAACCACCAGGGCTGCAAGGAGGATGCTGAAGTCACCACGAGCCCAGATCTCGGGGCCAGCCAGCCTGCAGCCGTGTTGTCCTGCAAGCTGTCCCTCCTGCTGCCGGGACGGTCCAGGTCCCACCTCCATCTCCGACATGCTGCGTGACTCTCAGAAGGTCACTTACCAAGCTGGGCTCCAGACTTTTTTTTCTATATGATGAAGGTTATTAGACTTTCAGAACTAAAAAAAAATGGATGTTAAAAACCAAATGATCACTTTCACACCTGACAGGTCTTCACCACACTTGGCCCCTTGACACCTGTTTCCTCCCCTTCCTGCCCAGACAGACAAAGCTCTCCGATGTTTTGCAAGCCTGTGTCTTCAGGGCTTCTTCTATGTGTAAACAGCGCAGAGACCATACGTGCATTCAGAGAGTTCCCCCGGTTTGACCTGCCCTTTCCTGTCCTCGTACCCCGTCCAGATACTTCCTGGGCCTTCTGCTAAGTTTCCCCTGAGACTCAGGCAGACCTCTCCCTCCCTGCATTTCTCCACTGATATCATCAACAGCAGTGGCAGTAGCGGCATTCAAAACGGCCAGAGCACCTCTTCTCTGGGTCAGGAACTGTGCTAAGTGGATCGATGCTTTTTTTTTTTTAACTTTACCAAAACACTGAGAAAGAGGTACTCTTCACAAGAGAAGAACTCCAGAGTTAAGGATGAGATTTGTAGAAACCCGTATGTTGGTAAATGACAGAGCAAATACTATACATCACAGACCTCCAGGACTCTGTCCATTCACTGATGC